ATTGTTAATCTTGAAGTAAGCGAGTATTTTTAAAAGGATTTTATCCAGATAATCCATGAAATAATAGTAATATATTTCATATAGGAAAGATGTTTAGTATTCCAATAGATGTTCATCGGGGCTAGAGAAGCATCCTGTCCAATATCACCTCTGTGAAAATAACATCAGATTTCGTAGAATTTGATAACTGAACTAGAAATAAAATCTCTATGTAGCTTATAAAAAGGGACGTAAAAGTGAATTTTGATTCTTCTACGTGAGTGTTCTGTTATTCTGCATTTCGATTATTTGTATTTTGTCTCTATGTAAATAGAAGTGGGGGGGGGGGGGGTTTACTGATAATCAAGTTATACATGTACTGTAATGAGTACCAATAAAAAAATTATATCAAGAATTTGCCCGTTAGAGTGTACTACAAGCTTCTGAATCCCTTCCCGAGAATTCGTGTGCATTTCTTGTCGAATTCACTACACAGATTTAGGCATATAATTTTCGATTTTGTTAATCAAATAATCAGTATGTGCATGCAAAGTACTGTGTCTCTAAAATTAAATAAAGCGTTGGCTATATAAAATATTTTGTTCATCGAAAAGTGGATCTAAACAAATCGCACACCCTTTTTCTTAAGCCTACGGAGATTCACGGTTTTTATTTGAAGCAAAATTTTTCAAGGTCTGTAACGCAAGTTATGATAAGGCCATTCCAAGTTTTTTTTTCTATGTGCAGTGTACGCGGATGAATTGGTTTTGAGGTTATGAAATTAAAAACAAACACATTAAAATTGATAAATACAAAGCTTTGAAACACAAAGTTAACTCAAATTAAAATCAACAAATACGAATCTCTGAAATGCATTTTACTCTTTTGGGATTGACATCTCTCTTTTTTAAGTGGTGTATTAATTTTTTTATTTCAATAAAATAGTAGTTTAACTCTTTCAACACTGAGTAACTTTTATCAACTAACCCCTGGTACACTGAGTAACTTAGGCCATCAGTAGCAAAAATGGTCACCATTATAAAAATCATCATAACATCTTTATTTCTTTGACAATTTTATTAAGTGATACATCATTGTAAAGATCAGACATTCTGCTTTCAGAATATGCAATTATAATCAACATTTATTAATTTTTATGTACAATAATATGAAAGAAAAATTTAAAAAAAATTAAAATTTCAAAAATTTTGACAAACTTTTAAAAATTTGCTGCTATAAAGGTTCAAATTGATTAGATTTCTTACCATAATTTTAAAGAGGAATATTTCCTGAATAAAATGATATATAACATGATATAGTTATATCAACACATATTATCAAAAATCCAGATAAATCACATGTTGTTTTTTTTCACAAATCAGTCCTGTTTCTCCAATCACAGCTTTACAGAAAGTGTTCAATACTGGACTTCAAACTATCAAAAGTCTCATTTTTCCCCTTTTCAGCATGGTTTATTGCCAAAAGTAAACTTTTGTATGATAGTCTTTGAAGCATGTGCTCTTCAAATTGCAGCACAATGGGACGTTACACTTTTCGCATTTCATCGTTGTTCTACTTCTCTTGTTTGGGTTTTCTGAAAGTGTGCATCCAGGGTGGCTGTTTCTATAAACAGTATGCTTTTTATTGCATACAACACACACAGTGTTGGTACTACCTGTGGGCCCAGGCCAGTGAGATTTCTCATCAAGGCGCATTTCCGGTTCCGCATCAACAGTTCTTGGGCGCTTGAATCCCCTCCTCTCCTGTCGATAGGCTCCAATCAACTGATGGGCGACGTCAAGACGGTAACTTAGTAGATCCCTCTTACGTTTGTTCTGTGGATTGTGTTCAATTACAGATCCCTCAAGAATGTATGAGTTGTATAACGCAATTTCTCGCAGCCTAATTTCGATCTTCCTGTACCATCTCAGAGATTTTTTAGATTTATTCATCCGCGACATTTGGTCAAGTCGATCAACTCCACCCATGTAGGATGCATAGCTTTTTACAGCTGGAGTGACAGGTACCTGTGTTTCTGTTCCATCCTTGTTCCTCCTTGTTGTCGCAAGGTTATTATCCTCTGGCCGATGGTAAGACGATAAGTAATAAACAATGCGATTGTCCTTCCAGAACTGGGCTAATAGTGGGCCACACATTAGCCAATCTGAAGTTCCTCTCTGCATTCTTCTGGCGTCCCTAGCTGTTGGTACAAGTTCCTTCGGATAACCTTTTCTATTTGGTCTGACAGTTCCACAGATGTATGTATTTCTCGTGTATAAATAATCGGCTAGGGTTGGACTTGTGTAGAAATTGTCAGTGTATACGATATAGCCCTTATTTTCTAAAGGCTTAGTCATTCCAATGACAACTCTTGATGCCAGTCCCAAATTTCTGTTTACAACTTCATTATTTTTGCCAACATAGATCTCGAAGTTGTAGCAATATGCTGTAACTGCATCGGCAGCGACCCACATTTTTATTCCAAACTTCACGGGTTTGTCCTTCATGTACTGTTTCATTCCCAGCCGGCCTTTGAAGGGAATCATTGCCTCGTCAACTGAAACATGTTGGTGTGGGACATACTCATTTTGGAATGTTGTTCTCAAATGGTCAAGAATCAATCGTACCTTGTGTAGTTTGTCATCATTTTGAACATTTTGGTCATCACTAAAGTGAAGATAGCGCTTTATTTGGATGAAACGGTCTCTTGTCATCACTTGTCCAATTTTTGAGCCAATTACCCAGTACTTTTCGCTATTATACCAGTAAAGTTCATCTCTCTCAAACTGCATAACTTCCATTACGAGTAAAATGCCATAGTATGCCTTTATTTCCTCCAGTGAAACGTCAGTCCAAACTCCTTTGTGTTTTTCTGGGTCAGCTGCTCGTTTTGTGGCCGCGGAGTTGTTCGTATATTCTACGATTTTTTCAAACAAAGCATCCGTATAAAATATCTGGAAAAAGTCTAAGGCTTTGCAGGAAGCATCCAGAACTCTAACAGGCCCCGTGCGTTCACGAAATGGGTGGATATTCCTGTTATTCTCTGTCTTGTCCCAACCTTCAAACGTCGGGGCTAAGTACGCGTCCTCAGGTTCGAAGCCTTCGAAGTCTGAATCTTCGTCACTTTCTCCGACCAAGGCTCGAAATTGTCGTTCAAGTGCATCTTGTTGACGTCTAGGTACATTTATAATGTCAAAATTCCCAATATTATCGAAGTTCTCATCGCCAGAAATGTCGGACTCGTCACTGTCGCTCGCCATTTTACTTTCTTCTTTCTTGTTTCTGAGATTCGTCTCAAATTTCTCATTTTCCTCGCTTTTCTCAACATGTGGTCCGCCATATTTGGAAATGAAAGTAGGTTAACTATCCCAGAATTCATAGCGACCGATTCTGCGTATTATATACTTCCTATGACGTTTAAAAACATGTTTACATTCTGTTTATACCTGAGGCTGCTGCAGCGGCCTACCGTGTTGAAAGGAGAATTTTTTTTTAGGCCGCTGTGGCGGCCTACAGTGTTGAAAGGGTTAACTAAGTTTTATGGCGAGGAGAGGTTTCAAATAATAATAAGAAATTCTAGGACTGTTCTGAAAATGCTGCATTTTTCCCCTTTTGGTTTGTGTGTTTTCTTGGATAGGAAGATAGGTTTTCGAATTTCGGATGGACGCTAAACAAAGAAAAAACTTGGAATGGCCTCATCAATCAGGACTCTACAACCGGTCTCATCTTGTGGTTTTAACATAGAAAGTGATTGTGTGTAGGTGTATTGGGGATTATTCCTGGAAAGTATATTTTACATGAACCATGCAGTAAAGTGGATCCACTGGAATGAATAAATAACGATCTATAAAAGAAATCCTAACATCAAAAATTTTTTAACGCAGTTTAAGACACCTCGTAACCCCATAATAGTGAGTAATTTATACATTTATCCCCCCCCCCCCCCCCAAAAATAGAAAATAAGAAATTAATAGCGCTGCCATTTGTTGTTAAAAAGGGGAGTGGTGTTGATGGCTTTTTCATTGCCAAAAATCCAATTTTGAGTACTTTATATGGGACGTTCCAATTTTCTTTTTAATATTGATTCATGTATCTTTAAATATTTTAATGTAACTTCATAGACAATGCGGAAAATGATTGAAGAAATCATTTTTACATAAAGAAATGATAAATTTGATACGAGCACAATTTTAAAAGAAGTAGTACCTTGTCTCGTCTGTATGGATGAATCAAACTTCATTACTTGTCTGATGAAATCGTTTGTAATAAAATTATATTTTCCTTTAAATTATTATACTCCTTCCAGCTATCAAAGATACATTACGATGAACTGAAATAAAAGTTCAAAATTGTTTTCTGGAACATAAGGCAGGTTAAAGTAAATAGTTTCCGGTTCAGAGAATTTACAGATTTCTTTTAACGTAATGTTAAAATCAGTAACGCTGTGATGAAGTTATCATGTCAAAATTTGTAATTTCTAAAGAAAACTCCCCATTTTTCGAGACATCTGACAGAAAAACGGTTTGTGATAATTAAAAAAAATAAAATGATTTTGAAAAGACACATCGTAGGCATGTTTGTAAAAAACTGAAATCAAATTTGGAGACAGGGCCGCTCTGTTATACGTAATGTACCCAGTTCTTTACATTTTACCACTGGGCCATGCACACTTTCTGTGAACTTTTAAGATGGCAATTTTTATGTAAAATTTAAGTTTCAATTAATGAAAACCAAACTTGTTTGACTTGGCTTTTAATATCAAATATTTTGGTATAGAGTAGGTATGTCTTTGACCATTTGAAAAGAAGAAAGGCAGTTCTTTTCAAATTTTATGGGCAGTCCTTGTTCAGCATGCATTATTTTCTCAAATATTAATATGAACAGATTTTGTAAACATAATCCATACTTAATACATAATGAACTTAACAACTTAATACATAGTGAAAGTCGACCTACCAATAAAATGGTACCATTTTATAGGAATAAATAATGAGTGGGATTTTTTTGTTTTGTTTTTTTAGGTAGAGTGGGTTCTGCAGTTGCCCTGCGTGCCAAGGCTTTTGGATTCAATGTTATATTCTATGACCCCTATCTGCAAGATGGAGTTGAGAAATCATTAGGTGAGCTACAGATTTCAAACTTTTTTTTCAAATTGACTGCATAACCTTCAAATTTCTGCTATTATACACCAGCAATGAAGTTTTGGGAGTGTACTGGAATTTCGATCTGTCTGTGCACAGACAGTTTTTTGTCCAGAGGTGATCTCCGACTTTTTTGTACACCCATCTGAAGGATACCTAACACAAACAAAAAAAATTGATGCATGAATTGATATATATTTTTTGACTGATTTTGAGTTGATAAATCCCTAAATACAAAGAAATCCTAAGTTTTCATTAGTGCTGAAATATGAGTCTTTGTTTGTATGTTTCTATGTAAATCTTCAAGAAAATTTGCACACATTGTTTTAACATTATTACAAAATCTTACAAAATTTCCACACCAACCCTGGCAGTCATTAATCAGGTTATCTATTTGAACATAAATCTATGATATAAATAAAATGTTTGTGTTATACCTTACTCTGCTGCATTGTTTTTGTGTGTAAGCACTGTCTATGCTGAATTGTTTTAAAGAAATGACATAATATACACATACAATTTTTAAAATATATAAAATGTTCAATTTTCAATTTACAATGATATAATTTTCCAAGTACGAAGATATTATTTAGTTTTTTATATAAAGGTTGTCATATATAAAAATTGTTGATATAATGTTGCCATGGCAACCATTGTTTAAAGGACTACGTCCTACAAAGCATGATAATTTCCTTTTTTCGATAATAATGTAAAATATAGAGTTAAAAATAACATACCAAGTTATGACAATGAGTATATTGCAGACCTGAATAATTTTCAAGGCCATTGAATGGTTAAGGTCATCATAAAAAGGCTATAAATACATTAAACTGCAAGACCATATACATTTATGATACTTAATTGCATATCCCTATATACTTCAAAACTGAAAAAAAAAAGAAAAAAAAAACTAAAGCTGTTCTAGAAGGACTATTACCCTCATGGGGCCATTTTTATGTTAAAAAAAAACATGTTTAGATGATGTGACCTTGACCATGGTCAAGTGACCATGGGTCAAAGTCATGATACACTCCTCCTACAGGTTTGGTCTGATTTCAATATAACTTGGCACACAAGTAGAGTACACTAAGATACATAATTCAGTTTTTGATTTTGATGAACAGTGTTGCCATGGGTATTAAAAATGCAAATTTCTAGAAATACTTTGAAAATGCTACTCCTTCTACAGTTTTTTTAGCTCACCTGAGCTGAAAGCTCAAGTGAGCTTTTCTGACCACCCGTTGTCTGTCCGTCCATCTGTAAACTTTTCACATTTTCAACTTCTTCTCAAGAACCACTGGGCCAATTTTAACCAAACTTGGTACAAAGTATCCTTGGGTGAAGGGGAGTTTAAATTGTTAAAAGAAAGGGCCAAGTACCCTTACAAGGGGAGATAATCAAGAAAAGACAAAAATAGGATGGAGTCATTAAAAAATCTTCTTCTCAAGAACCACTGGGCCAAAAAAGCCGAAACTTGTATGGGAGCATCCTGGGATAGTGTAGATTTTAAATTGTTCAAATCATGACCCTCGGGGGTAGGGCGGGCCACAATAAGGAATCCAAGTTTTACATTGAAATATGTAAGAAAAATCTTTAAAAATCTTCTTCTCAAGAACCACTGGGCCAGAAAAGCTGAAACTTATGTGGAAGCATCCTGGGGTAGTGTAGATGCTAAATTGTAAAAATCATGACCCCGGGGGGTAGGGTGGGGCCACAATAGGGAATCCAAGTTTTACATTGAAATATGTAAGAAAAATCTTTAAAAATCTTTTTCTCAAGAACAACTTGGCCAGAAAAGCTGAAACTTATGTGAAAGATCCTGGGGTAGTGTAGATGCTAAATTGTAAAAATCATGACCCCCCCCCCCCCCCGGGGTAGGGCGGGGCCACAATAGGGAATCCAAGTTTTACATTGAAATATATAAGAAAAATCTTTAAAAATCTTCTTCTCAAGAACCACTGAGCAAGAAAAGCTGAAACTTATGTGGAAGCATCCTGGGGTAGTGTAGATTCTAAATTGTTCAAATCATGACCCCCGGGGGTAGGGTGGGGCCACAGTAGGGAATCCAAGTTTTACATTGTTGGAAGCATCCTGGGATAGTGTAGATTTTAAATTGTAAAAATCATGACCCCCAGGGGATAGGGCTGGGCCACAGTAAGTATTACAAGGGGGAAATCTGGTAAAGAACAGCATGGCCAAAGTTACTCAGGTTTGCTTTTTTTTTTAGCTCACCTGAGCCCAAGGCTCAAGTGAGCATTTCTGATCGAAATTTGTCCATGTCTGTCGTCGTCGTTAACTTTTCACATTTTCATCTTCTTCTCAAGAACCACTAGGCCAATTTGAACCAAACTTGCCACAAAGTATCCTTGGGTAAAGGGGATTCACGTTTGTTCAAATGAAGGGCCATGCCTTCTTGTAAGGCGAGATAATTATGATTTCGTGAAAAATTAATGGCATCATTTAGAAATTTTTTCCTCAATAACCACTGTGCTTGAAAACATGAAACATGTGGAATCATGGTGAGGTAGTGTAGATTCAAGTTTTTTTTAATCATGATCCTCGGGGTTGGGTGGGCCACAATGGGGGATCAAACTTTTACATAGGAATACATAAGAAAAATTTTTAAAAATCTTCTCAAGAGCATCAAAGCCATGATTGGTCATATCAATATGGAAGCATCCTCAGGTAATGAAGATTCAATTTGTTCAAATCATGGCCCCCAGGGGTTGGGTGGGGTCACAATGGGCAATCAAAGCTTTACATAATAATACATAGGAAAAATCTTTAAAAATCTTATTCTCAAGAACAGCAAAGCCATGATTAGTCAAATTTATATGGAAGCATCCTCAGGTAGTGTAGATTCAAGTTTGTTCAAATCAGGACCCCCAAGGGTAGGGTGGGGCCGCAATGTGGGGGGGGGGTAGAAGTTTTACATAGGAATACATAGGGAAAATCTTTAAAAATCTTCTTCTCAAGAACAGCAAAGCCATGATTTGTCATAATAATATAAAAGCATCCTCAGGTAATGTAGATTTAAATTTGTTCAAATCATGACCCCCCCCCCCCAGGAAAATAGAGGGGCCATAACAGGGAATCATAGTTATACAAAGGAATATAAAGGATAATATCAATAAAAATGTTCATCTGAAGAATAGCAAAGCCATTATGTATGATATTGATTCAAAAGCATCCTTAGGAAGTGTAGATTCAAGTTTGTTCCAATCACCCCCCCCCCCCCCCCTTCCTCCCTGAACCACTTTTATATTTAAACTTTTCAATACTGAACTGATTTCTGTTTTTTCCTAACCAAAGTGCTCAAGTGAGCGACGTGGCCCCTGGGCATCTTGTTTTTTAGTGTTCTTGCCATGGTTACTAAAATTAGAAATATTTGTGAAATACTTTCAAAATGCTACTCCTCCTGCAGTTTTGGTCTGATCTGAATATAATTTGGACACAAGGTTTCAAACTCAGATAAATAATTTTATGTATCATTTTTTGATTTGGAATAATTGTGTTGCCATGGTTACTAAACATGGAAATTTTTGTGAAATGCTTCCAAAATGCTACTCCTCCTACAGTTTTCATCTGATTTCAATGTAACTTTGCAGTAGACTAGAAATTTTCCTGAAATTCTTTCTAAAGGTTACTTTTCTAACAGTTTTAATCTGATTTCAATCAATCTTGCCACAAAGCAACTAGACCAAGGAACATTATTATTAGCTCTTCTGAGCCAAAGGCTCAAAGAGCTAATGCTATGGCCATTTGTGCGGTGTGCGTAAACTTTTTAGAATATGGGCCATAACTCAAGAACCCCTTGGCCAATTATTGTCAAATTTGTCACAGGGTATCCTTGGCCCAAGGGCTCCCTTTTATACTAAAACTGGGGTTGTGACCCTTTAACAAGGAGAGATAATTAGGAAAATAGAAACAAAAGTACTGGTTGCTAAAAAATCTTCTTCTCTAGAACCACTGGGCAGATTATCACCAAACTTACACAAAAGGATGAGGATATGTTGTAGATTAAAATTTGCATGGGGATTTACCCTGGGGCAAAGGGCATGGTCTCAAGGTCACTTCAAAGTTGACCAAAAATTACATTTTATTAAAATGTTGATATTTTGCTTACTATAAGGACTAGGATCATCAAATCTTGTCAGTTGGTGCATCTAAGGACCTCATATCATGTTGACTCAAAAGTAGGTCACGGTGACCTACTTTTTAAATTTTGCGGCCATTCTTTTTCAAAATGATTTAGAGGCATATTTTGAACAATTTAAGGCCTATGATCATCAAACTTTGTCAGTTGATGCATCTTGGGTCCTCAAAGTACGTCAACTAAAAAATAGGTCACCTTGACCTCCTTTTTGAATTTTATGGCTAATCTTTTTTAAAACAATTAAGGTCATTAATTCGAATACGGGGAAGCTTAGAATCATTAAATCTTGTAAGATGATGCATCTTGGGGCCATAAAACATATTTATTAAAAAGTAGGTCACAGTGACCTACTTTTTGAACTTTGCAGGCATTCGATTTCAAAGCGTTTTAGAGGCATAATTTGGACATTTTAAGTCCTATGATCATAAAACTTTGTAAGTTGATGCATCTTGGGTCCTCAAAAAAGGTCAACTGAAAAGTAGGTCACCGTGACCTACTTTTCAATTTATATGACTATAATTAAATATTTCAGGTACTAATTGGCTTAGAATCATCAAACTTTGTCAGTTGATGCATCTTGGGTCTTCGGAGTAGGTCGACTAAAAAGTAGGTCACAGTGACCTACTTTTGAAAATTTATGGCGTTAATTAAATATTTCGGGTACTAATTGGCTTAGAATCATCAAACTTTGTCAGTTGATGCATCTTGGGTCTACAGAGTAGGTCGACTAAAAAGTAGGTCACCGTGACCTACTTTTGAAAATTTATGGCTTTAATGAAATATTTCGGGTACTAATTGGCTTAGAATCATCAAACTTTGTCAGTTGATGCGTCATGGGTCTTCGGAGTAGGTCGACTAAAAAGTAGGTCACCGTGACCTACTTTCAGAAAATTTATGGCTTTAATAAAATATTTCGGGTACTAATTGGCTTAGAATCATAAAACTTTGTCAGCTTATGCGTCATGGGTCCTCGGAGTACAACAACTGAAAAGTAGGTCACGGTGACCTACTTTTGGAAATTTATGGCTTTAATCAAATATTTCGGGTACTAATTGGCTTAGAATCATTAAACTTGGTCAGTTGATGCGTCATGGGTCCTCGGAGTACAACAACTGAAAAGTAGGTCACGGTGACCTACTTTTGGAAATTTATGGCTTAAATCAAATATTTCGGGTACTAATTGGCTTAGAATCATTAAATTTTGTCAGTTGATGCATCTTGGGTCCTCGGAGTACAACAATTAAAAAGTAGGTCACGGTGACCTACTTTTGAAATTTTATGGCTGTATTTAATATTTTCAGGAATTTTTTGGCTTAGAATCGTCAAAATTTGTCAGTTGATGCATCTTTGGTCCTCAGAGTAGGTTGACTGAAAAGTAGGTCACCATGACTTACTTTTGAAAATTTATGGCTGTAATTAAATATTTTGGGTACTTATTGGCTAGAATCATCAAACTTTGTCAGTCGGTGTATCTTTGGTCCTCGGAGTACAGCAACTGAAAAGTTGGTCACGGTGACCTACTTTTGAAAATTTATGGCTTTAATTAAATATTACAGGTACTAATTGGCTTAGAATCATCAAACTTTGTCAGTTGATGCATCTTGGGTCCTTGGAGTAAAACAATTGAAAAGTAGGTCACTTTGACCTACTTATAAAATTTTATGGTTATAATTTTAAAAAATATTTTAGGTATTAATTGGCTTAGAATCATCAAACTTAGTTGATGGGTCCTCAGAGAATGACAAGTGATAAGTAGGTCACCATGACCAACTCTCAGGTACTAATTGGCTTAGAATCATCTTGGGTTCTCAGAGTGTGAATTGGAATTTCAAGGGTTTATCTAAATATACAGGATACTTCGAGGCTTCAAATAGAAGTGATAGGTTGTACAGTTTATCAGAAGAGTGATTCAAGGCCCATGGGCCTCTTGTATTTATTGCTGTTTCATAGTTTCAAGTGCAAGTGCTACTTTTCTCTTGACTTCCTTTGTTATAAATACAAACCAGTAGGGCTACAGTCTCATCAGAGAATGATACAGATCCCCATGATTAGTTGAAATGTATTATTACTATAAGGGCTATCTGGACCAAACTAGCATGGATGATGCATCACGGGATGAACACTCAAACTTGCTTCAGATGCTGGATATGACTTACATTTTCTGGATGAGTGACAAGTTTAAAGTTTTTAGTTAAGTCCATTCCCAAGTAACTGCAAGCCCTATCGGACCAAAATTGCATAAATGATACAAAAATGACTGTATTATTAATAGATTAAAAATATGCTTTAATGTATTTTTTTTTTTTTGTATTTTTTTTTTTTTTTTTTTTTTTGGATATAGGTTTATATCATATCTCACCACAGGAGATCAAACATAAGGAATGGAAAAATCATTGAAATCGATGTATCAAGGTTGAATTATTTTCTTCCTTGCACTCTAAACTATTATGATAATTGAACAATATTTAACAGGCATGAGCTGTTTAACACTTTAACTCCTTCAACACTGAGTAACTTTTAGCAACCAACCCCCAGAACACTGAGTAACTTTGGCCATTATTAGAAGTCCAACTACCGTAAAAAAAAAAAAAAAAAAAAAAAAAAAAAAATACAATTACTTCTTTATTTCTTGAAATATTTAATAAATGACACATCATAAGAAAGGCAAAACATTTTTCTTTTAGATGGTATCAAATTTATATGCATTCAAAATTATTTAACAAGACAAAAACGTTATAAAAGTTATAATTGTTTTTTATGAATGATTTTATGCAATATTTTGTTAATTTGCTGCTATGAAATTTCAAAATCACTAATGTTCAATACCATCGTTTAAAAGAAATTATTCTCGAGTAAAATGATATGCAATACTGTCAAACAAGAAAATATGGTGCACTACTAATTTTAGTGCATTTGGCGCAAGTGCCCCTGAACGCTAAAATTTATTGTGCGCTAATGGATTTCTAAATATTAAACTTTTTTGTGTTCAAAGCAATCACTTAAGTACATGTAAACCAGAACGCGTGATTACATAATGTCATAGGGTGGCTTTACTCACTCTGGTAAACTGTAGGATCTATCAAGAAAGATCTGCCAAATTATGAATGAATTAAACTTATTAGCTCACCTGAGATGAAAGCTCAAGTGAGCTTTTCTGATCACCAGTCATCCGTCTGTCTGTAAACTTTTCACATTTTCAACTTCTTCTCAAGAACCCATTGGGCCAATTTTAACAAAACTTGGTACAAAGCATCCTTGGGTAAAGGGGAGTTTAAATAGTTAAAATGAAGGGCAAACCCCCTTCCAAGGGGAGATAATCAAGAAAAGACAAAAATTGGGTGGGGTCATTAAAAAATCTTCTTCTCAAGAACCACTGGGCCAGAAAAGCTGAAACTTAAGTGGAAGCATCCTTGGTAGTGTAGATTCTAATTGTTCAAAGCATGACCTCTGGGGGTAGGGCAGGGCCACAATAGGGAATCCAACTTTTACATTGAAATATGTAGTAAAAATAATTAAAAATCTTCTTCTCAAGAAACACCGAGCCAGAAAAGCTTAAACTTATGTGGAAGCATCCTGGGGAAGTGTAGATTCTAAATTGTTCAAATCATGACCCCCAGGGATAGGGTGGGGCCACAATAAGTACTACAATGGGGGGGGGGGAATCAGGTGAAAAACAGCAAGACCAAAGTTACTCAGATGAGCGCTGTTGCCCATGGGCCTCTTGTTTGGAATATGATTGGTGGTGTTCTTGTGCCCTAGATGTGCAACAAGATTTAAGGAATTTTGATTTTGCTTGGGGGGGGGGGGGGGGTCAAAAAGAGTTGTTTTTCTACAAAAACCTTGTTCCCTGAGCTCCTCTTATATTTTTTGCAGTAGCCATTTCATATTTTGATCTCATCTTTTGGAATATGATTGGTGGTGTCCTGTAGGTTACTCCAACAAGTAAGAGCCTCAGTTATCGATCCTACGCTACTTACATACCTCAGACTCTTACATCCGAAGGCCATTTTCTAACGAGCTCATTCTGCCTGAGATTTTGGGCGGAAAATGTTATGTGTGAAATAAACTGTAAACAAGTAATTCTCAGGTACCTTTGAGTTTGCATGGGGTATAAAAGTCACAAGAAATCATAGAATCCACTTTATTCAGTATGCGTCATTGTTCATTAATCAAATTCTGCATTATTTCAATTTGTCACCAGAATTATTTTCGATTTGACTTCATGTTAATTTTGGGGATTACTAGTAAGAAAACGAAACTTTCAGTTATTTCATAGCGAAAAACTAGTTTCGTTTCATCAGATTTTCTGCATTCCACTCCCGAATTTCAAACAGACAACTTGTTTTAATTTCTGCTTTGATTTTAAAAATACATGTAGTGGATTTATTGCTAATACAAGAAATTAACATTATTTTATGTGTAAGTTTTATCGCAGATAGTGAATGTTTTATTGTTTCGTGTCATATTAATGTTTAAAGCCTGCATTTTTAATTAAACAATTTATTTCCTCTGGGTTTCAGAAGCGAGAAATTTTACAATGGATGCTAGAGGTTATGCAGCACCGAGTCAAAAGTATCTTGCTGTGAACCTCTAGCATGCTGGAGTATCCTGTAGGTGTTTAGTAAGGTTTTAGAATTTTGATTTTTTCACCCTGGTGGTGATTGGGGATCAAAAGAGAAAAAAAAAAACAGGTTCCCTGACCTCTTACATTTTTCACAGTAGCCCATACACATTTTTGAAGAAGTCTGGATGTGTCTTGTAGATGTGCATTTAGGTTTTGGAATTTCATTTTTCACCTTGGGGTTGATTTTGGGTTGAAAACTGACTTTTTTGTAAATTAAAGAATTATTGTGGCTTCTTCCCTTGATTCCCAAATATGAATGTGAGTACATTTAGAGGCAAACACCTAGTGTGGGAATTACTGTTTATGATAGCAAGCACCCTTTTTATCTGTAGCCACCCAACAGACATTTTAAATACAAAAAAATCCATAAATCAACTAATAAAAAAAAATGGCCTTGCATTTATGTCTCTGTGGCACACAATATATTAATCTAGGTCTAATTTTGTTTTTAATGTCATGTTATTAATACTACGAGACCTTTAGCAATTGATTTTCAATCAGATATTAAAAGTGTGCAATATATGTTTGTAATCCTTTGCATCTAGGAGACAACTTCATGAAATGTAATTATGAAGATTGTCTATACCGAATTGTAAAATTCATATCTTAGAGCCAAGAGTTCCCCTCCAAGGTTAGGAGTGAGTTGATTGTAGCAGTGGTAACTCGGGATACTCAGGTGACCAAGAAGGCCTCTAGATCTTTTGTACAATTTCCACTACTTTTTCAGAACCACTGCCAAGTAAATCAAGCACAAACCATCTTTAACTGAATTTTAAATCTATATTATATTGAAAAACTGTGCCCCTTTTCAGATTGATAGGGGGTATAAAAAATAGGATGGGGTTCTTTTTAAGTTTTCATTGCAAGTATGAACCTGAAATTTAAAGGTGAATAAGTCAAAGCACAAAATCTGTTTTACCCATTTTATATATATTTACATTAGTTGCATGCTAACACTTGTGAAGTACACTATGATGCCACAGATAAAAGGGCTTGAGATGAGAAGGGTAAAATTTGGGAAAGCTCTCCATGCCGTCTTCATTATCACACCATTATCTTCCCTTGTTTCAAAAAATGGGATTGATACATAGTGTATTTACTGGTGGGATTAAAATCAGATTTGTCACTGAGAGAATGATTAATCTGAAACTATTTTAATTTCAGGCATTACTCGTGTGTATACTTTACAAGATCTATTGTTTCAAAGTGACTGTGTAAGTCTACACTGTAACCTGAACGAACATAATCATCACCTCATAAATGACTATACCATCAAACAAATGCGGCCAGGTAAGACAGCTACAGGTAAATTGAAATACATGTGCATGGAATCACCCTCATATTTATGCCTCCCAAACGTAGTTTGGGAACATATTGTTCTGACTCTCTTATTATTTTCTCCCAAGTGTAATTTTGAATTATATTGCTTATACTCTGTTTCCTACTTAATGTTCCTTAAGAGCCATTCAGCTCTATATACAGGAGCTGTGGCATGCATAGTCCAAGAATTTCTCCAAACTCTCTGTGATAGAAGTCTTTAATACCATAGTTATATCAGGCAAAAATTGTTTGCAATATGTCACAATCATAATGGCAACATGCCCTAAATTATTTTTAAAAATAGCATTTTTGAGTATATTCCAAATCCAATTATTAACATTTGCAGCAATGCAAAAATGTTTCCAAAAGTTGAAGACTTGATGTCATATGCATGATAAAAATATTTGAAAAAACATTTATTAGGGCCCCGCAAGGGTTTGCGGGTGCCCTATAGTAATCACTGTCTGTCTGTCTGTCTGTCCGTCTGTTTGTCTGTCTGTCTGTCCATCTGTCATTCTTCCGTCCACAAATTTTCTGTTTTTTTCTAATAACTTTTTTTTGTAGTTGACCAATTAAGTTCAAATTTGGAATGTTGGTTGAAGAGGCAGTAAGACATATTTTGATGCTAAGTTTGGTTCTCTATATCATCCAGTTTGGAGCTGGGGTGGTGGGGTAGATTCCTTAACTTTACATTAGAATGAATGCCAGGGCAAAGAGAGATAACTGCTGGGAATGTTCCAATTGTAAACTATGAAAGCTGCAACTAGTCCCATGGGATTAATTAACTTTCCTCTTGAAGAGAATCCAAAGCATTATCTGTTTCTGTCAAATTGAGATTAATTAACACCTCTGTCTGCAAATGAAGTTTGTTTTGAAGTTAAGGTCAATTCTGAATGATGTTTACATTCTATGAAATGTGGATTTAAATAATGTTCATACTTTATATTGGTAAAATATACAATGAGATATGATTTTATTGAATTCTAAAAACAAGATACACATAAAGATTATGTTCTTTATGTTTCCACTAATTAAAAACTCAGGAAAAAAAAAAAGTAACAGTGTATGCGGCATTTGACTCTAGAAGAGCGTGATAGGGCAGCCAGTATGGTGTCTGCAGGGGGTTCCTTTGAAGAAATTTGTGAAAAATTAAAACAATTAAAAGATTTATATGCATTTCTCTGGTAAAAAATTGTTGAAAATGAAATAACGTTCATAAAAATGTTTACAACAGATATCTACAGCATTAAGTAAGCACCACACAATAACTTCAAGATTGTTCCACAAAATTGGGGCAACCGGAAGTTGGATGGATTTGGTGGGAACACCTAGGCACTGGATGACTACTAAGCGATATGGTAGTCGATCAGGGTACATCATTTAATTTTTAAGTGGGAGACTGCTCCCATCGCAACGTCACGGACCACCATAGGTAATCACCAACTTCATATCTTGGCAAAAACGGTGTGCAGTGCACATCGGGAAATTGGTTTCCGGACAAGAAGGTCCTTTAAGAGTCTTGACATGACACCAAGATATTTCTCAATCCAACTGTTTTGGAAAAGATGGCATATTATATATACTAGTACCAAACAGGAAAATGATCGATTCACAAGTAAGAATAATAAGTGGTGCGTTAGCAATTTTGTCTAGTGTACATGTATCCATATCAAAGTTACGAAAGTTGATTTATTTTTTTGCCACAATATGTAAATCCAAACAAATTTTAATATAAAATTTTAAAATTATCACTATTTCACACATATACATGTCTGTTCTTATATATTTCAGTGATTTAATATTTAGTTAAGAAGAGAAATTTAAGAAAGGGGGCTTTCTCTTTTTAACTTTTGTTCTCTGCACGGTCACTGTTGTTTTCTTGAAAGGTAATGGGGAGGAGACGTTTCTGATTTTTGTTTTTTTTTTTTTTTTTCCAAGACTGATATTTTTAGTGCTTTGTTTAAAAAGGGAATTCAATTGTACTAAATGCATTTAACGACTGTATTTAAACTGTTTGGGTTGGGGGGGAGGGTGTTATATTGAGCTCAAAAATGAAATCTTAAACTTGATTTTTTTTAATTTCAGTTGTGATTGTAATTTTTTTTTTTTTTACTAATGTGTTTTAAGATTGAAATCGGTCTACACATATTATTATTTATGAGAGCAGACAGAGATGTAAAAAGTTACAGTTATTCTGTTTCTTTCTTATATTTTTTGTTTTGTGCTGCTTTTCTCAGGAAATAACTTGCACGAAGGTATTTTAAGATTGCCCCTGACTACTCGTAGACTTAAGATCAACTTTAATCGTAACTTGCAAATTGCAACTCTTAGTTAAACAGACTTGCCTACTACGTTTACGTCTACGTTTACAAGCTACGACCTGTTAGTGAAACGGTCGCCAGTTCCCTATTTTTTAGCTGATCATGAGTGTGACATCACAACAGCTTGAGAACTTGAAACTTGCACACTAAATATTCATAGCTGAGGTGAAACAAGTGCAGATCCTGGATCTTCCAATTTTTATAGCCTGTTTTCTATACTAAGAGCTTTCTACTTCCATTTCCTCATATAATATTTGATAATGCCAATGTAAAAGAACTTTTAGCAAGAAGAAAAAACTATATTTTTTTTTTTTTTCAAGACAACAGATCTTATATTACATGCAATTGCAATTCACCATTTTACTTGAGAAAGTTCGGGAAAATGGAGTAGGGGTGACATTGTATTTTGAAATGTGATGTTGGTGTAGTCTGTAGTAGAATGGCTAGTTTATATCATCATGTTTCTTTCTCTGGCCATTTGTTGGATTGAAATGCTGTAACATCTGTATAAATATTTGTAAGTGTTTGCAGTTGTCCCAATGAATATTTATTGGTATGTATTTTTGTTCTCTGTGAGCCATTTCTTTATGAAATCGGTAGTTGAAGAAATTTTATGGTCATGCTACATGCAGATCAAGTGCATGCGCAGTGTGAGTAGTCCATGCCTGGCATGACTATGGGATGTAGAACAAAAACACAACAAAGTACAGACCCTAAAATGTACAACGAACCATTCCATGCAAGAAGCATACTGTATTATGCACAAAACAAACCATACTGTTCACTAAACGTACCGTACCGTTCATGAATAATTTTTAAAAATAATTATGCAAGTCATGCCCAGAAAGCATTCTGAATTTTCTTTTATTGTTTTCGACACAGTACCCATTAAAGAAGGACAGAAATTAAGGAAACCACTCAAAACTAATTACAACTTCAAAACAACTCGACAGAGTGTGAGGCAATTCCGTATTTGCTATGCATGATCAGGTTGTGCTTAACTGACATTTTTTTTTATTTTGATATCAAATGCAGCATCGTAATATTTTTGTGTACAATTTATAATAAATAAAAATGAAATTAATAGATAAGGCCAAACAAAAAAATATGTGTGGTTCCGGTTACACTTCCAAAAAAATTAGGGTAGGTAGGTAGGGAATTTTTTTTTTTTTTTTTTTTTTTTTTTTTAACAAAATGATTTTCTTAATTTTTCTAAATAATAGCCTACCTATCACTGCTTTGCAAATGGCATTTAGATGTGATGTGATAATATACTAGTCAATATTGGTAGGGGACACCTACATGCTAGCTCGCTTTGGACTTAATACTATTAAACACTTGCACTATGTTTTGCAAGGAGGCCGTCATTGCTGAAACTAAAACTTAAACCGGAGCCATTGATGGAAATCGGGGAAAATTCCGGAAAAAATATGAAAATTGCCCAAAAAAAGTTAAGGGTCGGGAGGTATAAAATAGGGAAGGTCGGGTAACCGGAACCACACATATTTTTTTATTTGGCCTAATTGATTATTTCTGTAGCTTTTATCTACCCTATTCTTGTCTCTATGAATGTTCTTGGAACCAAGACACATTGAAAAAATGTATTAAGATCCTGTGCTTTTTTCCAAATTAAGCCCATAAAATCATTTTTTAATTACCTCGACAAAGTCGAGATGAGCTTATGCTATACCCACAGCGTCGGCGTCCCGGTTAAAGTTTTAGGAGCAAATCCATTCTCGAGTAACTATAAGCCTTACCTGGACCAAACTTGCATGGATGATGCATCTAGGGATAAACACTACCATACTTGCTTGGGATGCTGGATCTGACCTAGATTTTCCAGATGAGTGACCAGGTTAAAGTTTTTCGAGCAGGTCTATTCCCAAGTAATTATAAGCCTTACCGTGACCAAACTTGCATAGATGATACATTTAGGGAGGGACACTACCACTTAGATTTTCCAGATGGGTGATTAGGTTAAAGTTTTTGGAGCAGGTCTATTCCCAAGTAATTATAAGTCTTACCTTGACGAAACTTGCATGGATGATGCATCTAGGGATTGACACTACCACACTTGCTTCAGATGCTGGATCTGACCTAGATTTTTCAGATGAGTGACCAGGTTAAAGTTTATGGAGAAGGTCCATTCCCAAGGAACTATAAGCCCTACCTGGACCAAACTTGCATGGATGCTGCATCTAGGGATGTACACTAAGTAACTTGCTTCGTATTCTGGATCTGATCTAGATTTTCCACATGAGTGAATTTTAACCAAATTAGCATGGATGATGATGTATCTAGGAATGGACACTTCCAGACTTGCTTTGGATTCTGAATCTGATATTGATGGATATTGATCTTGGGATGTACACTAACTAGGAAAAAAATCTGATGTGAGATTTGCCTTACTTATAGATAACATTCGTCGAGGTGAGCTTAGTAATCTTTGATTACATATGTTTAATTCAAGTAAGTAATAATATAAGGGAGAAATGATTACAGATTTAGCAACAACAAAATTTTTTTTTTTAAAATTTGCGAACTAAATTGTCAATTTGAACGTGGACATGTAAAAATGTAAACACCCTCTCCATCACAAGAAAAAGATAAATAAAGACAATGTATATATAAATAATATGTGTTGGTTTACACTCTTCTGACCAA